CCCAGTAACGTCTCCATTGGAGACTTTGTTGTTACTGTGTCTGGCATATCGAATACTCTCAGTAGCTTGCCGGGCTCTCCAAGAGGGGCGGAGGAATCAAACTCGGGTCGGCCATGTTGGCCGCGTGTAAGGCGAACGCCCTACCCGCTGTGCTATCGCTCCGGCCCACAAAAGAGAGAGATAAAAAGATACTTTCCAGACTGAGGAAATGTCATACACAAGTACTTAGATATGCTTTAACAGATAAGTCTCAATGGGAAGCAGAGTCAAAATTGCTTTGTTTTGTTTTTGTTTTCACAGCTATACCTAATACAACTTTAGTAGAAGTTGGGAGAAACGGAGAGAAAAGTCATTGACCAAAGACAATGAAAATGGGAAAGAAAGTAGAGAAGGCAGTTCCTTTTGTCTTATGATTGGTCTGAAGATGAGAAGAAAAGATGAACATAAATCAGAGACATCAAGGCACACTAGAAACTGAAGACAAACAAGAACTTATAGGACTAACTTGAACAGATAAAGACAAATGGATCCGCATCTGTTTCAAGCAATGCAGGTGCTGTGATAAACTGTTTTCTTTTACCATGTAGTGCACTCAATCTTAACCCAGAATTCAGAAGAACTGAAAAAGATTTGACAAGATCTGAAGAAGCTATAACTTCAGCACCTGCCCCATGGCACTCAAAAGAGGGAGTAGATCAAACAATATACATGACAACCGTCAGCAGCATTCATGACCCTGTACTGCCATTCTTCATATGAAATCTGACACTTAAGTTCCAACCTTCATGTTGATTTTAAAAAAGCTAAAAATATTGATACTTTCATGCAAAGATAGGCTAAGTGAAAGAGCACAAGTCTTGAAATAAAATATGAATTTAAGCTTGGCTTTGTTGCATTGGGGTAAACAGAAGTCTGCTGTACCTCCAACTGACTTATGTCTTTTTTATAATATTCCTTCTTGACTTGTGAATGTAATGTGATCACTCTTTTAATATATCTAAATCATAAACTACAATTGACCTTCTAAAAAATCTTCATGTTTTTCTTTCTTTTTCTTTTTTTACTTTTTTTTTTAATTAATTGAGTCTCTGTGATTTACAGTACTGTTAATGACAGTTTCCCAAACAAATGGGACTACCGCAAATAAAAAATAATTTACCAGAGACAGGAAAGAAAGTGTAGCTGATAAGGCATTTACTTTGCATGTGGCTGACCTGGGAAACCCCAGTGCCACATGTGTTCCCCTGCACCCTGCCAGGAGTAATCCCTGAGTGCAGAGCCAAGACTAAACTTTGTTCACAGGCAGATGTGACAAAAAAAAAAAAAAAAGTATTGCCTGTACTCAGTGGAATACTACTCTGCCCGATTTCTGTTAATCTAGTTGGTTTTTTAATTTTTTTTAATTTTGTTTTGTTTTGTTTTTTGGAGTGAGGTGAGATGTTGGTGCATACCTGGTGGTGCTGGGAGGCTGCTTCAGGCTCTGTGTTGAGGGAATGGATCCCAGCATTTGTGGTGCTATTTGTGGTGTCAGGAATTGAAGCAGGGTTGGCTACTTGCAAAGCAAGTGCTTTAACCCTGTTCTATCTCTTTGGCCCCAACTATGCCAAACTATATTTTAAGATGCAGTTGTGCTACTTGGAATAAAAGGGACTGAACTTGAGGTGATTGTGCTAAAGAAAATAAGTAAAAAAATTGCCATATGACTTCTCACATATGTGTAATATAAATAACTAAAACAAACAAACTGGGGGAAAATAATCCTAACTCCTAAATTTGGTGAAAACCAAAGTGATTCTTTAAAAGGAAAGTGGGACAAGTAAAGGGAGTCTTTTAGAATTGGTGTAGTACTGGAACTATAATGGTAGGTGTGATGAGAAAATGCTTTACATAAATAAATGAAATAATTAGACCACTTTTTAAAAAAAAATCCCTTAGGGAGCAGGGTATGAGGATATAGAAATAGAATAGGAATGTTTTAGATGAAAAACTTACAATATTAACTATACCAATAGTAATACCATTAAGTTCAAATGGGAACTTACTGCATTCAGCAAAAGCATATATCACCTATTCTTTAACAATCTTTTTTGGCAATATTCAGTGGCACCAAGGGGTTAGATTTGATCCCTTGCCCTGAATATGGCCCCCAAGTAATTCCAGGAGTGATCTGAGAGCCAGGAGAAAGCTTTAAGCAGAGATGGGTATGACCCCAAAACAAAAACAAAACAAAAAGAAGTGATAACAAAGATTTATGATACAGATACAGAGAAGATGCAAAAGAAAAGAATTTATTAACAATAGTAGCATGGCTAATATTTATTGAACACTCATTCTTGACCAGATCCTGAACTAAATGTTTTACAAATAAGGTATTGAAGTAAGGAAGCATTTCCATAGATAACATTCATCAATGTCTATAGTTCTAATCTGCATGAATGTCATTTTAACTCTTAGGCTATGCCTGAGGGAATTAGAATTGAGAATTACATTTTCTAAGAATGAATTTAAGTTAACATTTATCCCATGGTCATTTCAACCTTTAAGTGGAGATGGAAATCTATAGGCCTTAAAATATTGCATAGAAACTACAAATCATACAAATATTCTCACTCTAACAACAGCACCACAACAATTTACCAAGTCCTGCAAAGATAGAAATCAGCACACTTTGGTGCATGCATCAGGATTAAAGGTCTCCCAAAAGTCTCCTTCTAAATGTGTTAATTCTCTTTCAGGTAGTAGTAGAACAGTCCAAAAATAACCATATCCTAAGGTGAAATTTACTGTGTAAACAGTCATGAGAAACTAGATTGTTTGATTCTTACAAGAAAGCTGAGGAAAGCTGAGGATAACCAGAGGTTTTTGTGGAGCTTTGTTCATGGCAGGAAAAACAGTGAAATGTCCTCTTGGATACAGACTATATAATATTTCTTCCTTTCATAAATATGAAAGGAGATAGTAATGCCAATTGTTCTATCAGAGGAGAATGCACTGGTAATTCAGCATTGCCTCTGCTCTCAAAGGACTTAGCCTCGAGTGTGGCAGAGGAACTGAGACATGACAAAGGTAAGTTGAATTGTTCTCCTACCCGTTTCTGTAAAACAAATGTAGGTTTTGTTCTTTATAAGGCCTGCCTTGTCTAATAGCTATTCTAAGAAACTGCAGCATCTAGTTGAGGCTGGCAGCTCATTCAAGCTTGTTTTTGTATCACAGAGCCTGTTCCACAGTTCCCAGGTAGCTCAATCAGAGAAGGGCATGTAGCACAATTTCTACTTTACTGTAGAAGCATACAGAAATGTAATAGACTAATGAGAAAGCTTCAAAGAAACTGAAACAATGAATTATCAAAAGTGGTGGGTTAATACAAACCTAGCACAGAAGAGAAGCCAGACCAATAAGAGAACAGCATATATAGAACATACCTAAGAACTTTATTTTCTGGTCAAGATGGATTACTAGAGATAAAATCTACCCTTCATACTAAAAAAATTAAAAATTCAGACATATATTAACCAATGGTCTTGAAGACTCTGACAGCAAGCAATGAGGAACATTGAATCCTGAAAGACAGACAAATCTCACTACCTGTCTCAAATGAGTTTCCACGTTTATTCTGGAATGGGAAATCTGGTGGAACCTGGCAGTTTCCTTAACTAATTGAGAAAGATTTGGGACCACAGGCAGACCAAGTCTGCAAGGAATACAGTACAGAGAAATAAAACTACCCAAATAGATAACTCAGGATATCTCCTTGAAAAGAGTAATGATCAGTGCATGTATGTAACGAAACTACTTGAAACAGAAAGAATGAACACTAAAATTTTGTTAGAGTTCTCCAAAAAAAATAGAACCAATAGAACAAAAATATATTGCAATTTAAGTGGGATACTTTTTAATCTGCACGTATAGTTGTGAATGCTTAACAGTCCCAAACCTGACATATTTGCTCTTGAATTGGATGCAGAGCAAATTCTGTGGTAGCCTTCAAAGTTTTTAGCCTGATTAACAAAAAGAATGAAAAAGACATCAACTGAGAAGAAAGCAGGTAGAGCAGATTTTTGAAGAAAGACCAGCAATTCACTTTCAGACATAAATTGGGTGAAAGGTCTGATTGAGGTTACAACTGTGAGAATCATTGGCATGTAGATGTCACACAGTTGAATTAGCTCTCCAAGGGTAATTATAAACAGAACAGAACTGAGGACCAAGAAACTTACCCACATAAAGAAATCAGAGAGAGGAAAAAGAATTAGCAAGCGAGATTGAAAAGAAGCAACTAGTTAAATAGAAAAATACAAAAAGCACAAAGCACAGACTAGGTCTTTCTACCTTTCTCCTTGACAGAGATTAAAGGAGAATGGGGTGAGGGTCTTATAACAAACTCAAACCCCCACAATAAAGTCCTCACAAAAGCATTAGTATTCTCATTTCCAGATATCTCTCAGTTTAAAAATTGAATAGAATAGATAGAATATAAATGAAAACACATCATATCAAATTTTATGGAATAAAGCTTATCTCTTAGGAGGAAATTTGAAATTTGAAACGCTTATGAGACAAAATAAGAATATTCTCAAATTAGTAATTTAAGACCTTGCCTTAAGAAAAATAAGAAGTCCTCTTATGATGCAAACAAGCCCAGTCTTTAAAGTCCATATATAATGACTCCTATTCCATATTTATGCAGTTCTCTCAATGCCATCATACAAAAGAATAGAGAAGTCAATTAAGTATAATTAATCTTTAATAAGGCATCACATAGGACATGGAGGCAAATGAAATACTTGAAAGTGCATGTGATAGAAAGGTTTTTTGTTTTCCTCCTTGCTGTGCATTTAGATGTATTCACATACTTCATCACAATAATCCTGATAATTTGGCATTATAATAACTCCTATTTCACGGATCAGGAAATTGAGGCTCCTAAAATAGAGCCTGAACTAAAATCTTGGCTGTCTTATTCCAAAAATGAGCTCTTCTTTTTTTTTTATTTTCTTTCACATCACACAGGTAATGTACCAAATGCGTAACAAGATTTAAGAGAGGCATGTGTCACACAAATGTGCGAACACCCAATTATTATGCTTATGAACTGGAAAAGAATACAAAAGTGAGCCCATAAACATTACACTAAACAGCTTACACTACGGAATAGAAAATTTAAAGATACTTTTCTTCATCCACATTGATAAACCATCCAGATCAAAGACTGAGACTAACAAACAAATCCCATGAATAGAATATACCCGCTGATACAAAGTGGAAGCCTAGTTATGAGATCAGGAGTATATTTAAGAAAGAAGGACCAAAGGAGGGAGAGTAAACTTTATTCCAAATGACCATAATAGATGTCACAACATGGAGTGGCCTCAAGCATCAGAACAAAGAATTCACTCTTTTTAGAAGTTGCATAACTCAAATTGTGTAAAACAGTCATTCTAAAGTTAGAGCAACTCCCTGGTTGGAAGAAATGAATCAAAACTAAAGTGCTGATTTCTTACCATCTTAATAATTTTTTTCTACATGTATATCAAAGTTATGTTGTTAATGGTAGCTCATAAGGTACTTCCCTCCTTCAAAAAGATAGAGACCTGGGGTTTTAGAAGAAACTTTATCAGGAAAGAAGACTGATTTAGATGTTTTACCCCAAACTCTCCTAATTCCAGCCTTTTTATAACAGTAACAGAAGTCTTTTGAGTTGTAATGTGAATGTTTAATACAGTTATTTACCTTCCAAGGGATATTTTTCCTAAGAGAGAAAAAATAAACCGAATCCTGAACAGTTTTTCTCTTTGTTTTCTGCCAAGGTTGTTCTCACAAATAAAAAAAACACTGTTTTGTCCAGCCAAGAGGACAAAAATTAATTTAAAAAAAAAGTCATATGAAAATTCTATTTTCTCCTGTAATTTTGAGCAGGCATCTTTATACTTAATACACAGAGTACAGTCTCCTAAAATTTTAATACCTTTATTGCTGTACTATCACTCAGAACCGATAGTAGATATTTTTAATGTTTCCCATACTGTCATAAAATGGAATTTACAGAGCTGTAATCTACCTATACAGGTAATTTTTAATAAGATAATATAGTGCCATAACAATAACATAAAAGGAAAGTACACAGAATGATTTACCATAGTATACAGGTATACTATAACAAAATATTAAAGAGATAGTTATGCATGGTTAATTGGTACATCTATACATGAAATTTGTGGAAAATAAATTTCTACCACATCTGATTTAGATAAGATTTATTAGTTAGTGTTCAAAAGCCTTTGTGGGGAGTATCAATTTCTGAACTATTAATAAAAATTGCAATGAATCAAGAATCACACTTTTCCTTCAATTTTTTACAGTTGTTATGGCCATGGAAAATACCAACCACTTTTAAACCATGAGAAAAATTCTGTTTTTATGTATAAAATGTTGCGATTTTTTCTAGACTTACAAACAAGTTTCTCCATCTTCCTGAGTTGGTGGTAGGACATTCAGAAGTTATGCACAACATTTGACAAGTCCTTCTTGTGTAGAAACATCCTTTAAATAATTTCAAGTATTTCTAGCTTTTGTCCACAAAATACTGATAGCATCAGACAACCAAAAATATCCCCAATTTTCCAAAATCTGACCTAGGGAAAAGTATTCCCATTGGTCTATCATACAGGATACTTCTTAACTGGGTGCTTAGGAAAACAGGGACATTTTAAAAGAAATCTCACTTCAAAGTTCAATTTTTACCCTATTGAATGATGACAAACCCTAGGTCTTTGATTTCAAAACTAAGATTACCAAGCAAGGCAAAGTGGGGGATGGGGTGGGAGGGCAATGGTGGGAGATTAGTATATGGAAAAATAAAGAGGCATACTGGAAGTGAAATAAGGACAGTGAAGGAGGCCCTTATGTACTGTGGTGGTGGTAAAGATGCTGTAACTTTGTACCTCAAAACCACAAACATTTGGCGGGAGAGGTATATAAGAGGTAAAGAACTTCCCTCCTTTCATGTGCTTAGTAGTGATTCAAAACCCTAGGATCACGTGTACACCCTAAAGCACCACCAGGCAGTGCTCTTGAGTAGTCCAAGAATAATCCCTGAGCACTGTTGAGTTTAGGCCCCTGAAAAAGCAAACAAAATTTACTCTTTTTTTCTAACAGAGGTGAAACTTTTGCCTTGCATTAAACCAACCTCAAATTGATCTCCTGCACTTATGCCTCTTCAAGCACCACCAAGAACAACCTGTGAGCACAGAGACAAGAGTAAGCCTTGAGTACCACTGGTAGTAGGTGAAAAAAAAAAAAAATAAACATTAACACTTATAACTCTTTATATAAAGTACAATGCTTTTTTCTATTTTAAGGAAATTAATCAGCGAACATCAAAAAGTGAAATAAGGGGCCAAAGAGATAGTACAATCAGTACAGCACTTGTCTTACACAAACCAACCAGAGTTAATCACTGTCACCCTGAATGGTTCACTGCACACCCAAAGGAGTGATTCCTAAATTCAGAACCAGAAATAGGCCCTGAACCAGGAGTAAGCCCAGGGTGTGGCCCAAAAAAGTGAAAAAGTAAAATAAAATAAAATAATTCAGACTTATCTTTGATTTTAGTATCATGTAGCATCAGAAGAATACAAATGTCTGAGTTTTGGGGGTAATACCTGACCTTAAACCTTAATTTCACCACTAAACATTTGGGTGAACATTTAAGCAATGTCTTAACCTCTCTGATCATTACCAGTTCAGCTCTTAAATTAAAAAATAATAATAATAATAAAATAATTTAAAAAGCACAGACTATTTCTTTATAAAAAGAACTGCAAATTTAACTCCCACTCAACTCATTAACATCCTGATTATCCATAAACCAGCCTGGCATTTCTCCCAAACACACATTTGCTAGTGGTTAATAAGGAAAGAATTAAGAACATGTACACTAGAGTTTAAAGTTAATTCAATCTGATAAATTAAGTAACTCCTTTGAGAAATGTTAAGAACCTCTAAAGGAAAGAAAAACTTTTTAGGCTCCCAGAAGGATCAGATTCACAGGCCTAAGATCTAAGTCATTACATAGGATCCTGTGCCTAATTAGAAGGGCCCAAGCTTGATTAAATGCTCCAATGTGCAGTCTTAAAGTTCATAATAGGGGCTGGAGCAATAGCACAGTGGTTAGGCATTTGCCTTGCAGGCAGCCTACCCGGGTTCAATTCCCAGCATCCCATATGATTCCCTAAGCACTAATAGGAGTAATTCTTGAGTGCATGACCAGGAATAACTCCTGTACATCGCTGGGTGTGGACCCAAAAATATCATAATATCAAACTAGAGGCTTGCACTTTAATTTTATTTCATTGAGTTCAACCAGTGCTGACACTCACTCCATTAGATGGTAAATGGTTATCAAAGGAGATGGATATTGATGGGTCCACATGGCATTAAAAGAAAGGTCTCATGGGGCAGGTGGGGGAGGGAGGATGGTAGGGCATCACTAGCATCGCATGGAGAAGATATTGCTGGTCTCAAGAAATTGTTGTTTTTCGCCCTACCGAGGTCATGAGTTGCCACCCACGAGTGACTCTCCAGCACGGCCTGGCTCCAGAAGCACAAGGACTTAATGCAGAGCCTAGCAGCTTGCGGCAGAAAAGTGAATGGACTATGCGTTAATCCATGGTAGCATGCCTGCCTGGGAGGGAAAGGGTGGTGCTCCCTTCCACCTTTTTCCCCCTGGAGAGCAAGATGGCGGCCTCCTCAGAGCTTTTTGGAAAGCCAGGTATGAGCCGGCAGTAACGGGGCAACGAAAACCTCATGGGAAGGGGATCGTTCCCTGCTTGTCCTTCACGCCTACCTAGGTCACGAGTGGCCCCCCACGAGCGGCTCTCCAGCACGGCCATGGCTCCAGAGCCACATAAACCAATCTCGTAATTATCTGGCTTGTGGCAGAAATGCCTCCAGGCTTAATAAATAAAATATCAGAAATCCAAATTTGTGTGGCCACTATTGCGGCCGCACAACGTCATAAGATTCTCATAACTAACTGTAGAAAACAAAATATTTCACAATGCCTTTTCAACAGTTCTGATTGTTGGTGTAAACTGTAAACAATAATGGTGCATCTTTTGTCGAAATAATCAATGTAATCAAAGTAGATAGAGTGTTAGGAAGAATTCATCTGCCTCACAGGCATTGGGAGGGATGGCGTGGGGCGGTATATTTGGGTTCTTAATGGTGAAAAATAAGTACTGTTGAAGGGAAATGTGTTCGATCATTGCATAACTGAGACTTAAACCTGAAAGTTTTGTAACTTTTCCCACAGTGATTCAATAAATAAATATAAAAAAAGAAAGAAATTGTTTTCTTCTTCTTTGGTAAGGACCTAATAATTCCTTCAACTGGCTCATTCTCACCTTTACTATTCACGCTGTAGACTATGGAGTGAGTACATTACTCAGTCCTCTGGCATGGTCCTCTACCCTGTTGGATCCAGGATGTTTTGCGGCTATATTTCTACCCATAAAATATGGGAAGTAGAGAAGCATATGAAAACACAGTTGCAAGATCTTCTTGTCATGGTGCATGTATTCATTTTTGGGATCACATATTGAAGTTCGTACACATAAAACAAAAGGTAAACTTTCCAGAACACACAACTTTGAAAAGTGAAATCCATGCCTTGATTCTTGCTTTTCCTCCTATTTTTATAACATAACATTTTCTTTACAAGCCATGGGTGATATTGCAAGACACAATCACTCCAATAAATTCTTATTCTTTTCTATAATTTTCTTTGCTAAAAACAAATTTGGGAAAATGGGAAGAGGATTTTTTAGTTCTTCCAATTTTATCTTACTGAATTTTTTTTTAGTTGAATCACCATGATATTCAGTTACAAAGATGTTCATGATTGAGTTTCAGTCATACAATGATCGAACACTTATGCTTCCATCAGTGTACATTTTCCACCATCAATGTCTCCACTATCCCTCCCACCACCTCTACCCTATTCCACCCTGCCTCTGTGGCAGGCACTTTCCTTCTTACTCTCTTTCTACTTTGGGACATTATGGTTTGCAATATAGATACTGGGAGGTCACCATGTTGTGTCTG